ATTTTCTAAGAGTATGTACTTAGATTAGGTTTGTAATACAACATCTCTTATTTTTCTCTACACTTCTCTCTTTTAAATTCGCTAGGAAAATCCCAGAGCACAATTTTAGTCCAACTCAAATCCCAGAATCCAAATCACACAATCTCAACTCAGCATCCAAGACCACGACCTTGATCCAGAATCCATAATCACAACCCTGCCCCAGGATCCAAGACCATGATCCTGTACCAAAGTCACGATCTTGGAAAAACCTCAAAACCATGATCTTGGGAAAAACCCCAAGACCACGACCTTGGGAAAACCCAAAGCCACGACCTTGGGGAAACCCCCCAAGGCCACGACCTTGGGAAAAACCCAAGGTCTCCGTGACGTCACAGAAAGTGGTGGGGGGGAGTGTCGGCATTCTACTCTGGTTCACTGTCCTAAAGGCATTTCAGACAACAGTTGGCCAACTAGGCTTTTTTTTACTAATTGGTACATAATTAATTAATTAATACATAATTACACGATGTGAAGAAATTTAAACAGTAGCCAAAGTACTATGAAAAAAAGGTTTCCACTTTTATGCACTTTGACGTTAGAAAAACTATGAAATCATTGGTTAAACATTTGTTCACTATTATTATCGTACCGTACCTCCGTTAGGAATATTATTATTAACCGTTTTTAGATCGAAAAAATCATTTTCGGTAAAAACATTTTCGGAAATTGGCCGCCATCTTGAATTCAGAACTTCCTGTTCAGATTTCGAGGTGCCAACATCGATATTCGTGTTCAGCAGGTCAAAATTAGTAAAAAATGCCTATTTGGCCAAATGATGTCTGAAATGCCCCTAGAACTTGTTAAACCGCTGTTTTTTATAAAAGTGAACCAGTCTATCTCGCTTATATGTAAGCAGATACTCAGGCCAACTACTTTTCCTCTAGCCACTCATGCCTACGATTTTCCAAACATTCTTTAAATGACATAAAGAAATAGCTATAGTTTGCAGATTTACTGCAGGATACGTTGAAAACTAATCGCCAAATCTATTTCAATATTACGGTTGTAATTTCATGGAAGGAGGATCTTTCACATGATCACTTACCCTACCATCGCGTTTAAAATGGTTGGAACCCTAACTATAATGCCAAGGGATGAAGGTACTAATGTAGAAGTTTTATTGTAAAATAGTAAAATGTATCCTCGCTCTTTACATTTATCTAACAGAAAATAGCTCAGTTTCGTTTGGCGCTTACAATCTACCGATTACTTACGAAGGACCATGTGCTTATAGGTTGTACATTAAAAATATTTCCGATAATGTGTGATTATATTACTTATACAAATGCTAATTATATGACAACTTGATTAGTTTTTTTAGGGCTTCTCTTCGAACACGCGAATGTATCTACACGCACCGCATATACGTTTTAATGAAACTTTTTAGGTGTGCGTTTTTCGGGCAAATGCATACACGCTACGTTTATTATTATTAGCCGCTATATTTTCACCCGTTTCTATAGTAAAAGTAAAGCCGATATCTGTGTTTTATTGTTATATTCGCGTTTGGTTACCGAAACAATTTTCCGTTGGTAACCATATTCTCCGAAATTTTCTGCAAAATTGTTCATAACCACACAAATGGGCCGAGACGTGATTATGACAAACATTCCGTTTTATACCTCTCTCTTTCGTCTAGCTAGATGTTCCATTTTTTTCTTGGTGAGTACACTAATTCGAGACTTCATTTTGAAGATATTCTCACAGCTTGGTTACACGTACACCAATAAATACGTGTCATCTAGACGTTTCATTTTATACTCGTAGACTTGGGTACCCTCCGAGCTCCGAAGACGGAGAGGAGAGCGGTAGTTGATAGAAGTAAATTCCTTATGTTGACACCTTTCATTCGAATACCATAGAGGACACATTCCAAAACTTCCCCCGAGTTCTTCGTTACCGCAACTATATGCATTTGCCCTGGTTCCCAAAGAAATTGAGCCGGAAGATCTATGGGGAAATTCTCCTAGAAATCGTTCAGAATGGCAGAAGTGGATCCGAATCGACGAACGGACAAAACTCAAACAATACCGCTTTCTTTATGATTTTGTAAAAAAGATGCCCAAAAACTAAGGTCGCGACTAGTTACACAGTAATTGTAAAGATTGTTGTTTGTGTAGGTACAGGTAGGTAAACTAATGCTAACTATTCTTTGATCTTTGAAATCCATAAATACCAGTTAGGATGGTGTTAACTTTTCAAGAGGAAAACATGTTTGACGATAAATCTGTAAAGATTATCGTTTCTTCCGTTTAGATATTAATAACTATAACTTTAAGGTGAGCATTTAAAATAATGGAAAAGAAACCCTTTTGGGTTAGTGTTTGCTTTGTTAGATGTCCACGGTGACGGTGTGCATTTGGCACAAAGGGTGTAATATTTAAATAAAAAAATAAGCAAAATCTTTATGAGACCGCAAATTCAAGTATTGTGTAGCTAGTAGTAAGTGGGCTTTCCCAAAAAATATAATTTGAGAATAGTTAATGCGGTAAAACCCACTAAAACTCGAGTACAAACTGATTTGCCTATTTTCTGATTCAGCAATAAAGATGGCCTATTCTAATGTTGCACACACTAACTTGATAAAGGAAAAAATGATGTAAACTCACTGTCAAACTCACAAAACGACAAAAAACTATCATTCGCCCTAGTAACGTAAGCATACATAGCAAGTAAACCTAGGCAAATTGCAAGACCCCTTTTTGAATGTCATTAACACCACTTAGGTAGTAGAGTGTTCTATTCCTTTTTTCTGTTGGCTGGCTCGACTTTTAGGCAAATAAACCTTAATTCCAGAAAATATAATATCTCCACTTGCTAAATAATCATCTGGGTTATCCCAATACTCGGGTAGCAAAATTGAATACTGTCTCACTGGCTAATGGAAATAACACACTGTGCGCCCCCACGAAAATCTCGATCTCGACGTAAATTTTGATTAATTTGAGAAAACCGCCTCCAAAAGTCCCAAGAATTAACTAACCAATTTTTAATCAACACCTGATATAAGTCTATGTACGAAATAGAAAAATTTAGCATGAACACTCTTATCCAGGTCCAAATTTGAGTTCAATTAAACACCAAACGAATTTATTCGGCATCAATGAATCAAATAAACTGAATGAAAAATAGGCGCTCAGGACCAGAAAAATACATACCACGCAGCAAGCGATCGATAGAAAACTGGAAAACATCATCCACTAACTCAATCTTTGTCTTCACTTCAAATGGCCTATACTCATTTTTTTTATTTAATATTATTGAATTGGCGATGAAAAACACGATATAAAAACGACCAATGAGTTTTCACCTCGGTTTTCACTGAATGAAAACTACAGGAATTACAGTAACAGCAAAAACAAAATCATAAACTCTCAAATGAACATTTATAGCGATTGCTCAAAATATTCCGTATTCAAAAATAAAATAATATCCAAAATGTTCCATTTAAAAGAATCAGTAGATGCAATTTCCCTATCACAAATGTACATTTTAGTCTATACATTACGCGTGAAGGTAGCCAGTACACGATAACCAGTACACGCCAGTACATCAGTACTCAGAAAAGGTACTGAGTTTTGAGTACTATCTCAAAATCATTTTGATATACTGACTAGCGGCATACTAGTCGAGCATACAACGGCATGGTGACCATAACTATGTACATGAGTGATGAACCGACATAAACGTGAACGATTTGAAATCAGTGTCCAACTGATTCCGTGCAATCGGTCGCGAGACGGTTTCAGTTGCACCGTTTTAATAAGTTGTTCGATTATATTGTTTTTTGATTGAATCACAAGGTGTGGTCCAAAACCAGTTGCGCATGTGTGTGGATAGAAGTTGCATTCTAGATGCAAACTGGATGTGCATCTGACTGTTTTGAAACGTACATTGCACATCAATCCGCCTGTGTTTAGAGTGCCTAGGTACCACACACATGAATGCATTTATATTTTGTATCTAAAAAGTACCTACTGAATCTTATGGTTGCTTGTTTATATGCCGGACTTCAATATCCTATGCACTGCTTAGGCCCGGTTGTACAATGTCAGGTTAAAATTCAGTTTGGTTTAACCGACAGATTTGAGAAATACTATTGGCCAACTTGTGAAATATTAGCCAATCAAATCCTTTAACCCACAATTCAACTATAAACTGAAGTTTAAACTGACATTGTATAACCGGGACTTAGTGCAGTTTTGGAAGGTCGCTAGTACGGGTATAATTTGGAAGGTTTCAGAAAGATTAATGCACATTTATTTAATACCTTAGAAGTAATAAACCGCGTGTAAAGCGGATCTAGAAAGCGGCAGAACGGTGGCGGTGTGACCCTTCGGGGTCATTGGATCTAACCCATTTGCAAGAGGTGTTTTACATGTGGCATATAGGTCAACTTGCAAAGCTTGAACCGAATCGGTCCAAGCGGTTTCCAGTTATCATGTTCAGACAGACACACAGAAACCACCGATATCCCTAAACAGCATGCTTCGCTTTACTCTGACATAAAATGATACTTCTGCTTGTTTTTGTCCTGGTTAACAATACCCCGTGTACCGGATAGCGGCACTGGGACAGTAACCAATTCAGAAAAAAGTGATGAGTAGGTATACGAGTATACGTATTTAGCACGTTTGAGGTACGGAATAGTACTGTAATGTAGCTTATAGCCAGCACATTAAAATATAGACGTTTTGAGTAGATAGTAAGTTTTTTTGTCGTTTTGAGATAGTCCTCAAACGGTACTACAGAGTTCTAATGTACTCACGTGTACTGGTTACTTTCACGTACGCGTTATTTACACTATACGCGTACCAAATTTAAAAAAATGTCCAGAGTTCAGATTATTAATGTTCATTTATTTTTGATTAAATTTATTCTTTTCTATAAAGTACATAATTATTAATTAATATTTAACAGTTTTACTTGAATCAATGATAAAAAGATGTATAACCAAGTAACAATAAAAATTAATGTATTTAAATGTACTTGTAGTGTACTTGATAACATTGGTGCAATCTTATCTACACATATACCTAGACCTAGGTAAACTTTAAAGTTTTACACAATTGATTGTTTTTTAAGATATTCGTCAAAGATGTACAAAGCAAGAGTGCTATCGGGGCCATTCAATAATGATGTTAAGTCGGAAGTGTACCCAGACAGTTTGCGAATAGTTTTCGCTTGCTTGTGAACAAATTCATTTTCGATATGAGAAGACACTTCGGGATCGTGTAGTCTTTCACGTCTGCGAGTAGTCTCTCCATGGATATGATGTGCTCGTTCTGCAAGTTCCTTTTCAAAATCGAGCGCCTTTGCTAAGCTGTTTAGCTCATATATTTCGTAACTGGCATTTTCATCGTTAACGGTATCCCCATGAACATTGTCAAATTTCATCTCGCCCCCACGTTTCGTAATGTACTTGATCAGGTCGATGGCCGCTTCCCACTTAGCATCAGATAAGTCCATGAACAGTTTCTCAAAACCTTTACGACTTTTCTCATAGTTACCGTAGTGAGTGGCCATGAGCATGTATTCAAAATTTCGAGTTATGTGAGTGTTTACGTACCGTTGAAGGTCGGGCAATACCTCGTGAATCGCTCCATATTTAGCGCTACAGGAGGGTAGTGAAACATCCTTTTTGTCTTTTTTGATATCTAAAATTTTCAGTTAGAAAATGTCTATAAGATAATACTTTGTTACCTTTTCTGGGCAATTTGCAAGCACGAATACTGTCTTTGTAACATTCATCTGCTGCAAATGCATAAGTAACCGTCACAGCGGCAATGATAGCGAATAGGAACTTCATGGTTAATCTCTCGACTAGTACTGAGAATGATAAAGGTGTAAAATAGTGACTTGACACCTCTCCACAATATCCACGACCCAATAAAGGGGGGAGTTTGTAGATGATTTTAACGTGTTTGCTGAGCAGTTTTTCCTGTCGTCATGTGTTTGTGGCAATTGCTCATTAGTTTATCGCATAAGTACGCCTTTATCAATTTTATTGAAACTTGTATAATCTGTATAGTTTCAGACTTCTGCAGGTATAGGACGATCTCCGAATATATTTCGATAGAGATACCCAAGATGACTACCATTCGTGTTCTTTTTATTTTCGCTGCCATTGCAGCATCTTCAGCTAATTTGCAATGTACGTATTTATAATTAGTCCTATTTACGTATAATTCTTAACTTTTCTCATATTCCAGGTGAGCATGCAAGACCGAACATCCCAAGCGATTGGATAGATATGGTTAAACCATGCGTGCAAAAGGTTCGTGCACAAATTCAAACTGAACTGGAAGCTTCCATTCAATATTTAGCAATGGCAGCACATTTCTCTAGAGACACCGTAAACAGGCCCGGTTTTGCGAAATTCTTTTTCCAAGCTGCTAGTGAAGAAAGGCAACATGCACTCAAATTAATATCTTATTTACTAATGCGAGGCGAATTAGCTTCAGGTGTTAATAAACTCATTAAGAAAACGGTAGGCTCGCAGATTGTCAAATACGCGAACACCATACACATACAAAAGTTTTAGATTATTCCTCCTGTTGTGTCATGGGCAAGTGGCGTTGATGCGCTAAAGGACGCTTTGCGTTTGGAAGCTAAGGTAACGAAATACATTCGTGGAGTTATTTCGGAATGCGAACATCCTGAAGAAAAGGAAGGGCAGGGATTTAATGATTATCACGTAAGTTATCTTACATTGTAGACACCAGTCATTCATTTTGTTATCAGTTGGTAGACTACTTGAATGCGGACTTTTTGGAAGAGCAGTACAAAGGTCAACGCGATTTGGCTGGCATGATATCGAACCTTGAAAAAATGATGAACGAACACCCAGCTTTAGGAGAGTTCATGTTTGATAAGAAGTTGTTAGATTAGTTATGGATTTTACTGTATCACAGTTTATATGTCTACCGAAATTTAGTAATATTTCTTAGTATGAATTTATACCTATTTAAATGAGTGGTTATGTAAAATACTTTTCAATCAATGTAAATAGGTACAAATAAAGAGAGTAAAATTAATCCATCCGCAAGTAACTATTTCATCTGGTAGGTAGAGCTAAAATGATCACGCTACAGCTACCAAGAGCTGATCTCGAATTCTTTAAAAACCCTAGACTATCAAATAATAGTCATCAAAAGATATATGTCACTAACCTAGCTTTACATGTTTTCCAATAGGTAATGCTATTGTAACCGTCTCCAAGGAAAAGACGCATTATGCTCACTTTGTGTATTTTATTGATATAACCACAGAGTGAATCAATTAATAATTATATTAGAATGCGACTGTACTCGTAGTGCGGAAGACGCACAGAGGCACAGAGAATCGGCCGTTACCTACGCCGAAGTAATTTAAAGATTCGGTTCCTTTAATCGTAATTGATTGTTCTAACCAAAAGGAGGGTTTAAACTCGAAATCGGTGGAATTCGAGGTGGAATTACGAATTGAATACTACAGCGTATTAGTTGATTTTACACGATCGGCTGTTTGCGTAGCCATAGCCCATAAGACAAATATAAAATCACCAACATAGGAAACGAATATACCCCAACAAAAGAATGAAGAATGGTGGTCATAGTTGATATGCAAAGCTTTAAAGCTTCAAAAAAGTGTTTTTCGCCAAAAGAACAATTTATAATGGAAAACAGATGGCTCATTTTGTCTTCAAGTCTCCATTTCTTTGGAGCAACTTAGATAGCGTGTTTCAACGTCAAGCTAATTGGGTAACTCACAACCATCATGGAATTAAATGGGAGAGTGACCGTCTCACCTATTTCCACTCATACTTCGATCACCGTCAGATCACGTTATGTGAAAGGAAAGGAGAAAGCAGATATCATCCGAAAAGCTCTATCGCGGGAAGTTATCGAGGTGGAAGAAGAACCGGCTCTTCCTTCATTAGAACCAAATTGCTATTATCATATACGGTCACTTTGTCATTGTGCTTTATCTAACGTCTATTACATTTATAACACCTATGTAATGCAGTAATTTTTTTAAATAAACAATAGTATGTTGAAAGACAAGTGTTACAATGCGACCTATTGTAATACGACTATCTTGTGGCACGAGTGGCGACGCGAAGCGTAGCCACGAGTGTCCGCAAGATAGGAGTATTACAATAAAGCATTGTAACACGCGTTTTTCATACTATTTTTTCTATTTCGGTGCTTTAATTTAATTAAAAAAATCATTATCAGAAACTATAGGAAACATTAGAACTAACATGTTTTATGTTGGGAACACTTTTTATGCCGTTAAGTTTTAGGTTGGCAGCGTAGTAAGACTGACATTTTGAAGTTCAAACATGGAAGTACCCAACGAAGTACCTACTTGTACTAACTAGTAACTGCCAACTTAAGAGATGAGTTACCAAAAAAACGACTATAATCACTGTCTTTGTACAACTGTTTTCGGCCGAAAACAGTTGTACAAAATCATCATTGTGACACCGAAATAGAAAAAATATTTTTTGACTTTATTTATTGTACAGTTGGTACATTTTAATATGATTACATAATATGGATGCAGTATTTTCAATTCTACATTTAAAACGATATCGATCTAAAGCAGCAGTTTGCGATTGTTCTTTCCTTGCTTCTTTGTAAGCAAAGGACCAAGCTCGTATTACATGAACTGTATTTTTTGATTCCTCAAAACTAATACGTCTCATTTGACAAAGTCTTTCAGACCCAGTCCACACATTTGCGTTTTAAAACACTTATAACAACCGTCGCCATTAATAAACTAATAACATACACGTTGAGCAGTTTTGTATACTTTAGCTAGTCTGAGAGGATATCGTTTTTAACAAAGATAGTCAAGAGAAAATGCTAGACAATAGTTTTAGTTTTAGTATTTATTCAATGGTTTTAGTCTCTGTTTAAAACAGAAAAATTTGCTGCTCCTAGCACAGGTACCACTCGCACATCTGCGCATGCGCATTCTGGCCAAAAGCTTTTCAGCCCTCTCTTTTATATCTAAGGGCGGATTCCCACTACTCGTGACTTGACGACCCCTGGCTCGGCTCGTTGTTTTGTGGAGTTGGAAGACGAGCGGAGCCAATCATTCCCACTACACGTCTCAATAGTCAATGCACGATTTTAGGTGGCGGTTACTTGTTTTTTAAAGAACTTGCAGTGGCGTAGTTAGTCTGTTCGAATATGCCAAGCCAACGACAGCGCATTGCCGCGATTGCAGCGGCTTATTACTACATTGCCGCTTTAAACGTTTCTAAAGCAAGGTCGTTCGACCACTCCATTTTTCACAAACTTCGGGCACTCTGATTCTCTCAGATATTTCAATTTAAACAAATTATCTCAAATAATAAAACGTCCCAACGAGAAATCCACACGGACACTGTCGCACACTACTGAATTAAAGTAATTCTGCAGTCTACAAGGGCACATGCTTTTTCTAGGAACTCTCCTTTGAATATTGACTCGTGCAACATTTACCGACACCGAACGGGAACGACAAGCCGTGTCAAGTTTCAACGAGCATTCCCGTTCCCACTGCTCGTGGCTTGCCGAGTCGTGCGCCAAGTCATGAGTAGTGGGGAGTCCTATTCTGGAACGTGTGACTTCCGTGTGAGTGAGTGAGTATATGGCGTCATGTCGAGCGATTTTTATAATTATGTATATATTATATATAATTAATTCATATAATGTAGTAATATAATGTACTATATTCCTGACACTTTACGCCAATTTTTCCAATCTCCAGTGCTATTCAAAGTAGCCTTCCACTTCTCCTGTATATCTTTATTCGTAAAGTTAGGGGATGATACGAAATTTGGTGAGCGAGTCACGGATGATAAAGTCACACACTCACCGGTTTTCCTCGACCCAAAAGCTTTTCAGCTCTTCCTTTTATGTCTAAGAATATGTCTACCAAATTTGGTCCCAATCTGTTCAGCCGTTTACCCGGAAATGAGGGAAAGGGAGACAGACCGACAGACAGACCGATAGACAAACCGACAGACCGACATCATTCACATTTTGTTTGATTCCGATTCCTGGTGCCTCAAAACTTATTTCCGTCAAAAAAGTGGGAGATCATTTTTTACCCCAATACAGTATCTCCCTTACTGACGTGCGGGTGCTAAAAATGGAATACTGTATCATATTTGAAAATGATTCAATAGACTTTTTTAGCGCATTTTTACAAATTTATTTGTAAAAATTATCAAAGTCCTCGTGTGAGATCGAAGGGACTTCAGCGCATTTTTGTGTGGCAGATCAGTATTCTATTAGCCACTTTTGACTCAACCATGAATAAAAGATCTTGTCGAAGGATACCACATTCCCTTTGACGGTACCCACTTCCGACGTCCCGTTCACCCGCAATTCGCGTTTGAAGATTTTTCTCCACCATCAGTTAGATCTTGTCGGAGGCTACCACATTTCCTTTTTCAATGCATACTTATACCACATTTTGGTGGATCTCGCTAAAAACCTTCCACAAGATAGTACCTAATTTTTGGGGGGCACTTCTCATTGCTCGAGCTTCTGTTGACGACACGAGAAAGAGAGACAGCCATTCGAGATTTACGAAACGTTAAAACGCGTGACAGAATTCGCAACGGAAGGTAAAAGGTGCCCGAAGTTGACTACCTCTCGAAGACGCGCGCGCGCGCGCCTTGAAAAAGGTCGTTAATTTCGCCCCTAGGCCAAAAAACAAAATTCCAGTAGTTGTGCGCGTTTACAACACCTTTCCGACGACACCAATTTGAAAAGAATCGGACCAAAACTGTAGTAGAAGATAGGAAAAAACTGAAAAATCTTCACGTTAGTATACTACGCTCGAGGACGACGCCCAGATGTCGCCA